GACACAATAAATTCAAAGTTGGTGATATTGAAATTGAACTACCTATAGGTAGTTATGAAATTGGTGACATAGATCGATATTTGAAAGAAAAGTTAAAGTCAACAGATATAAAAATTGAAATAAAACCTAATAACAATACTTTATGCAGTGAAATAATTTGCAATGAATTTGTCGATTGTCGACCAACTAACTCTATAGGACGTTTATTAGGTTTCACTAAACGATTGTTGCCAACCAATATAAATAATGTCTCCGACATGCCTGTAACCATTCTCAAAGTAAACGCTCTACGCGTTGAATGTAATATAACATCTGAAGCTTATATTAATCAAAATAGAGGTCATATCATTCATGAATTCTTTCCAGCTGTACCACCAGGATATAAGATCATTGGAGTTCCTAAACAGATTATATATTTACCTCTAACTGTCAGAGTTATTGATCATTTACAGCTACGACTAATTGACCAAGACGGTAATTTAATAAACTTTTGTGGAGAAGTAATCACGATTCGTTTACATATAACAAGAGTATAATGCGAATAGTTTATAATACTAAAGTAGGGAGTGGCTATATAACAACAGCGCTATGCGCTCAAAAAGTCAGTCATCGACGGATAGTCAGAGGTCTAACACGTCGAAACATTCAGTTCCTGAAAAGTCTCGGGCTGAAGATTGTTCGAGACGTCGCAACAAAAAGAAGAAAAAGAAACGTCCACAGTTTAAAAAATTAACGGGTATATTTTTATGCTGTTGTCATTTCAAAGATGGAAGAAATACTTAGTGTGCAAGCACCTATCATCTTTGATGAATCTATAGCTCATTATGAAGTTCATGCACATCAACCTTACAATTCACAAGCATTTAACAATAGTGATGAAATTCCTATATTAATACAACATCAAGACTTATGTCTCTTACCATCGAAAACTTCTCTACACATTGTAGGAAAAATAAGAAGAATTGATGGTAATGCTGTTACTGAGACAAAGTTCGTAAATAATTCTATATGCCATCTATTCAAAGATATCCGCTATGAAATTAATGCCATTGAGATAGACAGATGTAAAAATGTTGGATTGACAAGTACTATGAAAGGTTTGATTTCATTGAATCAAAATCAAAGTGTATTCCTCGAAAATGCCGGATGGCTTGATATTGAAGAAACTAAGACAATAATTGACAACAATGGTTACTTTGATGTGTCGATACCACTTTCCATGATTTTAGGATTCGCTGAAGACTATCACAAAATTGTTGTGAATGTAAAGCATGAACTTATTCTTACCCGATCAAGAGATAATTTAAACGCAGTCATACAAAACTTGGTGAAAATTGACGATACTGAGCAATATGAACCTTTTAAAATAGAACTCATACGAATCGAATAGTTGATGCCTTATGTAATTACGTCAGATAAGTGTAAAATACAGTTATTCAATTTCATTCAAAAGGATATTCCTATTTCTATGAGTTTTCGATCGTGGGAACTTTATGAGTATCCAGCATTACCACAAACGTCAAAACATCTTTGGACAGTAAAAACATCCAATCAATTAGAAAAACCAAGATATATAATATTAGGTTTTCAAACAAAACGCAAGTCTGATCAAACTAAAAATCCCAGCAGATTAGATCATTGCAGTGTAACCAATGTTAAACTTTTTCTCAATTCTCAGCAATATCCGTATGGAAATTTAAATCTTGATATAAGTAATAATCAATGTTCTATGCTATAAGACATATATGCTAATTTTCAAGTGAATCATTACAACAGAGACTGTATGTACAATCCACTTTTGAATAGAAAACAATTTATTACGCATGCACCTCTAATAGTAATAGATTGTTCTAAGCAAAATGAATCATTGAAACAAGCTGCTGTAGATGCACGTCTAGAGTTTGAAACAAAAAATGATATACCTGCGGAAACAGCTACATATTGTTTAATTTAACACGATCATATAGTTAAGTATAATCGAATAAGTGGTAACATTACAAAACTTGTATAAGTATTATAATATAATAAACATGTATAATTTTTTTATCAAATAAATGTGTTTTAAAAATTTTAAAGGTATTCAATATTTTTAATAATAATGATAAATCTTATCCCCCACCTCATTCCATGAGATATACCGACTGGGCGCGTCATGCCTGTACGCCACCGTCGATAATATTCCACCCCCCAACACACTTAATCACATATATCTTTTTTTCTTTCATCAATCTGACGCATCATCGATCGATTATCGGGGGGAGAGGGCTATAGGGCCGGGGGGAGAGGGGCATGGGGCCTGCGGGGGGGGGGGGGGGCATCACTCACGTCGATAACTACCGACCGAGCATACACACATACACATGCACATGCACATGCTCGGTCGGCTACAATGCAAACCGTCGATACAAAATCGGCCGATAAAACATTTCAGTGGCCGGTAAGGCAGGATTAATCATGTTACCGACCGCTGGTAAGGAAGGAATGAATACTCACATGGTAAAAGTGGCTTAGAACCCTTATAGCCTATACTACTCTCCAGGTTATTCCTTCTTACCTCTGAAACGCCCTCTCCCATCTATTACTACGTTTAAGAGGGCAGTACGTGAAAATTTTCTATTCTTGAATCTCCAAGCCTAATTACCGGGGGTCCCTCGTTATTTTGTGTTTGTGTTACAATATGTAATTAGTGATACTTTGATATGGCCATACCCTTTTATATGACTGCACTACTGGTATATTCTAATTTCATTAAATTTTGTGTAATACAGCGTAACTTAATATGATAGGTCCTTGATCAAATAAGTTTTGAAATGACAAGTATATCTCCAGTTTTATTTTAATAACATAACTGTATGATTCCGCTTTAAGTAATCAAGTGCAATGTTTTGCTGTAATAGTATGCACGCTATGCAGTGCTGTAAATATTTAGTATTTTGCAAATTACAAATAAAAAAGGATTTTATTCTATTTTCTCTATCTTCTTAGATTGTGCGCACATGTTTCGTAGGTGCTGAGTTCTTATTTACCAGCTGTGTGCATTAGTGCTAAGGTTGTGTAATTTATGATATTTGAGATAGAAAAGAGAGAGTTCACAACTTCGTGGATGAGCATTTGTGTTGTCGATCTATTTTATTTCTTTCTTTTGTGACAGGGCGAACAGCGATAATCGCTGGCCCTGTGTGCTACTCTTCACGCACGAACGCAACGACCAAGCGTGGCTATGGCAATATGACATTTACACTTGGTTTATTGCAGGGCTTGGAAGATGTGAGCGCGACTGAAAGAAGGGGGCTCGAGGTGAGGGCGAGAGAGAGAGAAGAGCGGAGAGAAGGGGTGAATCGATGGATTTTTAAGTGAGAGAATTCCGGGAAACGAGAGAGAAAGTCAGAGGGAGAGCCGAGAGAAATCTAGAAGAAAATACAGCCAAATTCAGTAAGAGAGTCCGACAGGAAGTAGAGAGAGAGACCGAGGAGTTCTTGGATGTTGGAGCTGTCCAAGATACCCTTTGGAGAGGCAGTGCTCTGAGGTACCAGGCCCCGAGTTCGGTACATGGTCATATATAACTGCCGAGGCAAAGACCGCCAGGAGGTCCTGATAAGGCATTCCTCTTTACAATCGTCGAGACTGGATAGCGGCGTAGGTGTATTTATCCCTCGAGAGCCTTTGCCAATTGGGCTGCGTTTCCATCGCTTCCAGACTGCCACCTGCGAGCGAAGTACGACGGATCCTGATTGGTCGCTTTCAAGATAATAGAATTTTCTTTCTCTCTCTGCACCAGTTCTCGCTCGAGACTTCACTGCCGTGATTATATCCTTTTGAGTCGAGGATACTGAGCGCAGTCGCTCGTGTTCTCTTCGCCGAGATTGCGCTCGATTGTCACATTTCCACGAGAGAGCAAATACGCTCACTCTTTGTAATTCTAGTTTCAATTTCGATTTTGTTTATTTGGTAATCGCGTGTTGGTGTGTGAGCGAGTCCACTTACTCACCCTATACTTCTTTATTTAGTTTGTGATCGATTTTGTTGGGCATAATAAAGGGATTGCCGTTTATACATATATATATATGAAATTGATGTATGACGTATCTTAATTGCCTGGCCTCAATTTTCAGCCATTCGCGGTGAATTTGTGTTTGTGGTAGTTAGCGCCGGCATCCTTAACCGAAGTAGGACCCAAAATCGCAGGGCATAGCTGTGGCGCACCATAGCTATTGAGTTTTCCCCTTGCACTTTTTTACGATTATATATGATGGCCTATTATAAGTCATGTTTGTTTAATTCAAATTGCAGGCAGCATTCATTATAATGATTCCACATCCTTCCCGATTTTAAACTCTCTCATTCGTGTGAATACTGTAACTTACACGTCTGGTAGATTATTAAGTAGCTGGAGCATTCATGCTTCTTTTTCCTGTGCAAAAATAATTATTTGTTCTACGTGCCCGGGATATGCGCTTTTCCAGCCTTCTTGTTACGGTAAATACTATACATACCAGAGAAAGTAAAATGGCAAGTTCATAGCTGGTGTATACCATCTTGGACTTCACGTCATGTGTCAATTTATACTAACTATAGACTTGTCAATACTTTATCTTACTAGACATGTAATGTATTATAATAATTAGAATGTAGAGCTAGATTTCTATTTAAAAAACGAATTCTCTCTTTACAGACTAAGCTGTCGAAGATAAATTCGTTGCTGATATACTCATATCACAATTGAGAAATTGGATTTAGTAGCTATTTTCAATAGAATGGTAATAAAGACTAATGAAAAGATGAGAGATGAGAATAAGAGACTTATAAAATTGAGAACCTATCATACCGGTTATAAAACATAGTATTTCAATAAGGATTTTTAGGAAAAAAACCATTCTCATATGCATTTACACATACACATACATATGTATACAAAAATAAATTTCATTTATCTGCTTAATTATGCTAGTAAATCTTTTATTTATATTGTATTAAAAATTTCCAATTTATCATTTACATACCTTACTGATTCCAGGCTCTCTTGACAAAGCTAAGAATTCTCTATTTAAAATATTCGAAATAATCATGTGATCTTTTTCATCTCTGTATAAGTCCAGCATTTTCAATCTGCATCCGAAAAATAGCCATATTTTCCCGAAACTAATCTCTAAAATAATTATGTTTTATTTAAAAATTATACTTGATTGATCACATTAATGAATGCGCTGAAATAATAATATGTAAATATTTGATCTAAATATTTATGGTTTGCAACGATTACCGAAAATCGTTCGACTCGCGCGAGGTTAATAAGCGGCTGAACGAGAAAAGCCGCGATCGGTTCGCGAGAGAGAGAGGGCGCGTAGGGGCAATGACCGGGAGGGGAGAGTTCAACAGGCAATATGACTGTGTTACTCGGTCCGGTGAGATCACCTCTACACTTTGTGTGCCAAAGAACTGGACATTTTATATCTAAGTGAGTGGATCTGGATCTCCCTGGATCTCCCTGAGATCCAGGGAGCAAGGGCTTGTTGAAGTGAGTGGAGTGTTCGTGCGCAGCCACAGCAGCAACAACCACAGCAGCAACAACCTCGACAGTAACAACCTCAGCAGCAACACCAACAGTAATAGCAATAACAGCGGCTGTGCAGCGAGCCGGGGAGCAGCGAATCTGCGACTCGCGTATCGGATACGGTTGGCCACCGTATCCCCAACCATCTCGCGGTAGGTGCAATATTTGCAATTTCATTGTTGGCGTGCGATTCCGCGCAGCGTGCGCGAAGAAGTAAATTATAGCGTGCGAGCGGTTAGTTCACGGCGATCGCGGTTTTCTCTCTCTCTCCCATCTAGCGTATTGTCATCTGCGTATGCGTGCGCAAGACTCTCGGCAAATCCTCCGTGTATCTATTTTATCGAATAAAGCGTTTAACCGAAATTCTTAATCGAGTCATTGTTTCATCTATCCTTTGTCCGGAGGTCGCGTTTATTTACGTTCGATTCAAATAAGCCGGTAGCGTAGCAAGGATCACGCAGAGATCGGTAGAGGCGAATCGCCAACCTAGTTTCAAGCAGCAGCCGCAGGAGCGCTGCTAAGCAGGAGTGACAGCGCCGCCAAGTGGCGAGTTAGGGGAACCCAACTCGGATTGGCGAGGAGACTCTGCGCAGGCGCACTCCCGGACAAGGTAGGTTAATGTGCTTCGAGCACATAGATAACTAGGCGTCGTTTAGCCATTGGGTAGGTACATTCTAGGGAAAATTACAGGTTAAACGGCAGCCTGTTACAGGTTTTACTAACATTCTGAAATTTTTTTGCTGAATTTTGTAGAATGTATTTACAAAGTTCATATACTTGTTTTTGTTTAGTGTTCCTAAAAATATTGTGGGAAGTAAGATTTATCACTTAAAAATATGATATTTTTTCATAAATAAACAGGTTATATAATAATCATTGCACGAATAATTTAATTATTACATGATTTTTTATCTGCTAACATAATTATATTAAAAAAGAACTTTCTTCCATATTTTTAACACAAGTCACATCCAAATTATATATGTAGTCTCGTGAAGGTGTTACGTCGATAGACGCAACACATGGTCAGGTACGACCTGAAGGAGTCGTAGTCTTAGGTACACTTTCGGGCCTATTCTTTTAAATAATAACCGGGACGTGCGTTATTACTGTCACAGAATAATCATTTCTTCATCCCGAGATCGAGACTTTACCACATCATACACTAAGCAATATGGTTTGGCTTCACGTTACTTACTACACATTAGGTGATAAAGTAACGAATGGGATCTAGCAAGATATGCACTCGACCATACACGAGGTAATTGAGTGTAACTACTCTAAATTTCGGAACGTGAAAACTAAAATACAAAGAAAAGTGCAAAGAAGAGAGAGACAATACTTTTGAAATAATTTTTGTTTCTTTTACTCACTTTCGTTTTTGAAATTCTGATGTAGTACAACTCTTAGTTCCACACACACGTTGCGAACAAAAATTACTCGTTGACGAAGATGTTGACGAAGTAATAAACCAAACAAAGTATCTGGAGTATTGCCACTAGTAAGTAGGACCAGTCTTTTTAAACCCTTGACAAGGGAATTTCTCACCCTAAAATTTTGAGTATCATGAGAATTGCTGTAACTTCGAGCCATAATTTTAGCTATTTTAAAAAAAATTTTTCTTTTTTCCTACAATTAAAATTTTTAATTATTATCCGAATTATGGGCACAATTTAGGCTGTAGTACGGGAGTAGAATATGAAAGGTGTTTCTATATCGAAAGGAGAAAAATTTCCGAAACAGACGGCCCGCGATATCCCTATGTTACGTATATGCCAACTTACGAAGAATGGAACTAGGTTTAGATACAGCACAAAAAGGCTGCGGAATTTTATTTATTTCCTGCCTCACGATTTTCCTAATGAATTTTACCTTTTTAGAAGGTATAAGGAAGATAAGGAAGGATAAGTTAAGGAAGATAAAGAAGAACATAAAATTTATAATAGGAAAGAAAATTATACAATATATTTTTGTTAATAAATAACGAATATCATAGAATGGTATAAAAAAATCATAACTCCTTTTTTGATTAGATACATAGCTTTTTATTCTATTACTCCAAGATTATTTAAAATCTGTATCGCGTACAGAGGCAATAAGTAACTTTTGTTGCTGTTAGACATATTTATATGATAAACAGTAGTACGAGGGTGGTCCGATAAGTAATTAACCTACAAAAGAAAAACGAAAATTTTGGAAAAGTGGCGTTTTATTTTTCAACATAGTCTCCTTTTAGTTCGATACACTTGGCCCCGCGACATTCCAACTTCTTTAACCCGTCTGAAAAATACGTTTCCTCGAGGTCTGAAAAGTAGGCTTCCGTGGCAGCGATTACCTCCTCATTCGACTCAAATTTCTGCCCGGTGAGTGACTTTTTCAAGTTTGGAAACAAAAAGAAGTCGCACGGGGCTAAATCTGGAGAATACGGCGGACGAGGCAGCAGTTTGTAGTCTAATTCGACCAATTTGGCCATGGCAACGGCAGAGATGTGAGCCGGTGCGTTGTCATGGTGGAAGAGTACTTTTTTCTTCGCCAAACGGGGCCGTTTTTTCTGCAATTCGACGCCGAATCGGCCCAATAATTCGGCATAGTACAGCCCTGTGACCGTTTTACCCCTCTCCAGGTAGTCGATGTAGATCACACCTTGTGAATCCAAGAAAACGGTGGCCATCACCTTTCCGGTCGATGGGTCAGTCTTCACCTTCTTCGGAGCACTTTCGCCGGGTAAAGTCCACTGTTTCGACTGTTCCTTGGTCTCTGGTGTACACCAGTGGATCCATGTTTCGTCGACTGTCACGAAACGACGCAGAAACTCTTTCCTATTTCGCTTAAACAGCGTCAGACATTGCTCTGAAGTTGTCTCACGGTTGCGCTTGTTGTTCGGAGTGAGCAAACGCGGCACCCATCGCGCCGACAGCTTTCTCATTCCCAAAATTTCATGCAGGACATGACCCACGCGGTCTTTTGAGATGCCTACGATCTTAGCTATCTCCCAGTACCTTCAATCGTCGATCTGCCAAAACAAGATCGTGAATTTTTATCACGTTATCCTCCGTGGTAGCCGTTTTCGGAGCACCTGGACGTGGCTCTTCAAAAATCGACGTGCGACCACGTTGAAACTCGTTAAACCAATTTTTGACAGTCGCCATCGAAGGAAAAGAGTCACCGTACACAGCATCCAAGCGCTTTTTGATTTCGCTGCGTGATTTCCCTTCCAAAAACAAGAATCGAATCACCTGCCGATACTGCTCTTTTTCCATTTTTCAAAAATCAACGGACACACTTGCTTTCACACGCTCTCAAAAATAAACTACAACTCCGATTCGGCTGAAATCTTGACAGTAACCATCGAGAAGGTTGTACTACGTGATAGAATATTTCTTTTGTGAGAGTGACGCCATCGGGCGGTGAGGCTAAGTACTTATCAGACCACCCTCATAACATTTTCTTTAGATCTTTGGTTGCTTTATTTACTTTAGTTTTGTCTCGACTAGATCTAGTTATTTGGTACTTTTTTCTTAATTATCTCTTTTCTTTGATTTTTGGAATTTTTTTAAGGGAGGTGATTTACTGTGTTTTATTTCTATTTATTGTAATAAACGTTTTGTTAAAGTTTTAATTAGAATAAAGCTGAGTAATTTTATGTTGTTTTCTATATTGATAGCTATTTTAAGAGGAATGTTGCACGTTATCCGTTCCTCTATTTAAAGAGCACATTTTCTCCAGTCGAATTTGATGTCATTGTTTACTTTATTAAATACTTGGTGGTGTACAGTAATTAGTACCGGTGAATGATCTGATGATAAATACAAGCATGATGAAACTTTAAAATAATTTTTGATATACCTCTTACTATAGCAAAGTCAATCAAATCCAGAAGCTTGTTTAAATCTGTAGGCCAGTATGTCCGTTCTCCAGTGGATATCGGAATGTAGTTATTATTTTGTAGTATTTCATAGAACACTCAGCCTCTGTATGTCGGAGTTGATGGTCTTGATCCACACCACAGATGTTTTGAATTATAATCTCCTCCTACTGTAAAGCGATTTCCAAGTTTATTGAAAAAGTCATTCCAGTTTTCTTCCGTAATTATTTTTGTTTGGCGGACAGCTAATATTTTTATTTGATCGTTTTTATCCTTGATGATTGCACTGGTTGCTTGTATATAGATTTCTCTAGTGTAACTGTGGGTTTAGTGGTTTATTTTTGTTTTGATTATAATCGCAGTACCTCCGTGTGCTTTATTAAATGGATAATTGGTTTTCTGTACAGTATAGTTCGATATATTAAAATAGTTTTTGGTTGTAAAGTGTGTTTCTAGTATTAACTGTGACGGTAAACGTCTTGTTTGCGCTACCATCTCAATCACGCGGCTACCTGCGAAGGCAGCACCTACCGGTTGGGGATAATAGAAAAAGGGGACTCGGTACGAGACGGGACGGAACGAGCGCGAATATGAAAGAAACAGTCGAGGACTAGCAATCCGAGCATACAGCTACAGATAACAACATCAGAAGTTTCCCTGAGTTTTCCTAGAGTGCCAGTGATCCAGCTGAGTTACCGAGACAATTACCGAAAATGTTACTTTCGTCGCT